CCGCACCTCCTGGGCTAGCCTCGGCCACCTGTGGGCTCCTGAGTGGGCCCCCTGGGGTGATGGAGCGACCCCTCCCCATTGCACAGGTCAGGCCTTGAGCTCACCCTCCCCACCCTCATCCCCTCACTCCCCAGCCTGAGCTCGCTGCTCGCTGCGCCCTGGACGCGCCCACGGGTCAATCCTCCCTCCGTCTGGCTGTCCTCCCCACCGGCCTCGAGTGCTGTCTAGAGCCCCTGTTAAGGCCGGGGCCTGGGGGGTTGGGGGGTCGGCAGCCAGATGTTGTCCCGAGTTACCACTGGAGGGAGGGGCCTTCTCTCCAGGCTTCCGGTCTGGGGTGTGTGAGACTGGAGGTCCAGGTGCCTTCCGACAGGGGAGCATGGAGTTGATCCCCTCCGGGAAAGTGCCCCCTACATAGGGCCCCAGATGGTGTAGCCAAGAGGGCACTGACCCCTGCCTGCAATGGAATGGGTGGCCTGGGTCTGTGGAGGGTGAGGCGGAGAGTTCCTGGGCCAGGGTTCTTGCACAAGCAGGTGCTGAGTGAGTGTGCACGGTCATTTCATAGAGTCCTGCTTTCTGGCGTCGGGGTGGCCCCACGCCCCCACTCCCACAGGTGGGCGCCGGGAGGTTGTACTGTGTGTTTGCCGGGGCAGGGAGTGGGAAGCAGGTGTCTGGGGTCCCGGCAGCCTGCTCACTGTGTGTGTGGGGGGGTACAGCAGTTATCCTGCTCTGGGTCAGGTCCCCATGGGGCAGGGGACCTGGACTCGGTAGGCCTGGCCAGTCCAGCTCCCCCTGCCCTTCCCACTGGGTGTGTTTTCTGAACATACAACTTTCCTCCAGGGATTCACCCGTGACCCACCACACCCTCAGCGGGGTGGGAGCCCCCGCCTCCTGCCCTCCTCGGAATGTGACACCCAGTGTCCTCTGCTTTTGAAAACCCAGACAAAAGCCTAGCTGCTCCCCAACCCGCCCTGGGAGCCCAGCCAGGGGCTCAGGGGAGCCAGGGCCCAGACTTGTCTGCACTACGATCCCCCACTTGTTTACCTGCTCTGCTCCCTGGGACCAAGGGGAGCCGCTAGGCCTCCTGACAGCAGACCCTGGGCGGGGTGTGGCCTTGGGGAGGGGGCTGCCTTGGAGAATGAGAGGTGAGAATCTAGGAAAATGCCCACCCAGAGCAGAGCAATGAGGGATGTTTTGATCGGATCTCATTGTTTCCTTTCCCACCACTCCTTTCTTTCACAGTGTGGATACTGAGGCCCTGGGGGGCGGCGGGGAGGGGGGACGGGCAATACTGCCCCGGGCTCACAGAGCACAAGTAGGGTGCCCTGTCCTGTACCTTCTTGGTCACAGGTCAGATATGGTGCCATCCCTCACCCCCCCCCC